TCATAAAAAGTCGAGCATGGTTTAAAACCATCGAATATCAAATTTTATCAGTCGTATACGGAATTGTCAAAAATAAAGATACTTTACACTTTACTCGTATACGTCTTAAAAAAATTGATATCTGATGGTTGCATTTTAAGTTTTGGACCATGCAAAACTTTTTATCCCAAAATAAATTTTTTCATAAAACCAATAATAAAAAAGTTTTCCATATGATTCCAACTGTATATAGGGTGATTAGTAAATACCGACGGAGGACATTTTTTTATAATTATTATTGTGAGTTTACTTAACTTTTTTGTATTTGTTATATTTCATTACCTACAGGGTGATAAACTAAATAGATGAATAATTTATCGAATGTTTCAAACAATATTTTTTGTTCAATCATCCTATACTTTCTGATTAGTGTTTTAAAGGTATATAGAGTGAAATTTTTGGTAGTATTTAGTTTATGCAAAAGATCTTATAGAATCAAATAAAAGAAATACGTACTATCTAAAATAAAAAAAAAAATCATATAAATAACAAAATATTGCATTTTTTAATTTGATTTATTACTACAGTACTCAACAGATTAAGACCTAATTACAGAGTATGAATAGAACAATAGATAATACAATTAAATTAGAAATATACTAATTGATAGAACAGAAGGTGAACAAAAAATATTTTTAACGCTCCTTGAATATATAAGCAAAACTATTTTTTTTACAAATATATGTAAAGTGTTCCCAAAACATTCTCACTTCTTAAAGAAATGACGCCAAATATGAATTAAATAATTCATTCAGTCAAGAAAGGTGATGACATCGATATAAAAACAAATATTAAAATTTAATAATTATAAAAAACAGTAGAGACTATATAGGAATATTTTTTGTAAATCCTTAAATAATATAAATTCCTTCAATAATAGCCTTTCCTTTTGACATTTTCCAAATTTACTAATTGTTGTTTTTCTTTTCAGCGAACGTCCGTAAAAAAATAAATCGCCGCAAATTATTCGAGTTAATCGGTAGAACGATATCAATGGTTTGAGCTCATGTTCATTTCACCTCTGACAATAAAGACGTTTGATCTTAGAATGTAAATATGTCCTTTGATGTTGTAGATCTTTGATTTACATTATAGCGTCTTCGGATGTACCTTCTAGGATCAAATGGACAAGGCTGCAGATATACTGGCCTGCGATACGTCTATTTTGAAAAATTTAACGTATCAAAGGGTTGCTATAGAATTGAACATGCTGCGATGATTATTAATGTCGTCGGAAATAGAAGATTTTCCGGACGCGATTTTATCGGAAAAACCTACTGGAAATAATGGATATTATGAAAAAAGAAATACTGGATGGGGAGTAAAGGAGCAATGTGCGGTTTCAAATGGTGAGTCTTTTGAAAAAAATATCTTCTTCTGGATTTGAAATTCATTTTTATTTCTATCAAAATTTCTTATACCCATTAGTGCAAGAAAGTCTAATTTCTCTAGGATCATAAAAATGTAAAAAAATATTTTATAAAATACTTTGAAATATACAGGTTATTCCGTTGCAGTAGGACAATCTTAAAGTCGATCTTTTTAAATGACTCACCATATACATTTTTTCAGCGTATTTAATGTACATTACTATTTTTTTTATAACTACGACGTTGTCTACTTATTGTAAAAAATATGAGAATTTACTAAAATAATGTTCAAATTTTTGGTACTGAAATTTAAGGTAAAACATTTGCTAAATGCAAAGATAAGGGTTAGTTGAAACGTGTGACACAATCAAGTTTATTTTTATGTACAGGGGATTTTATGCAGGGGGATCAACTTGCTGTTCTTTAAACATCTAAAACAGTTTTTCGAATTGAACACACAGTATATTATTTCACTATTTGTTAGAACCAATTCATTCTGTTAAATTATATTATTATAATATAAGCCCTAAGAGTACTATATTTTTACAAATTTGTATCATATTTGATAACCTAAAAAGAATAGCCTTCTTCTAGACTATGACAAGGAGAAAACAAATCACTTACTTAAATTTTGTACACCTACATCATTTTAGCAGAAATAAATCCTCATACTCTAGTAACTTTTTATACTTTATATACATAAAACCACTAGACAATCAGGTTTTCGAAAGAGGTTCAGTACTACAACATTACTATTAGATTTAACAGATAACATTATAAGATCAATGGATAAAGGAAAAGCTACAGCAGTTACCCTGCTTGACTTTTCTTAAGCGTTTGACACTAAAGATCATCAGCTTCTTTGTGTCAAACTCAAATATTTTGGTTTCGATGAAACCTCACTAACATTTTTCAAATTTTATTTAAGTAACCGCTACCAAAAAGTAACTAACTTTTAACATCAGGAGTACCCCAAGGCTCTGTCCTTGGTCCCATTTTGTTTTCCACATATATTTCAGACCTTTATAAATTATTGGAGCATGTAAATATACACTCTTTTGCTGACGACACACCACTATATTATTCCTTTAACCCTTGTGAAGTAGATATAGCCTGGTAAAACATGAATTTTTATGAATCATAACCTGAAACTAAATGCCAGTAAATGTCATACAATATTATTTTGTCCTACAAATATAGAACATAATGTGCAACAGAACCTTAAGTTATTTATTCAAAATGAACCTCTAAAATCATGTAGAAGTGCCAAAAACTTTGACATTATCTATGACTGCAAACTAAGGTTTCAGGACTATGTTTCGCTTCTAGTCAAAAAATCGTATCTGGTTATACAGGAATCGAGGTATTTTGAGTTTCAAATTGCGTAAGTTGCTCTTGAAAGTCTTGTATTGTCCATCCTAAATTATGGACTTTTAATTTAATATTCTTGTTTGGATCCAATAACCAAGTACAGACTTCAAAAGATTCAAAACCCTTGTTGTCGTTTTGTATTTGGTAAATATGAGATGGAGGCCACAGTATTTCGAGTTCTTTCAACCTCAACTCCCATATATTTAAAAAATAAATTGATATATCGGAAAGATCTGTACAGTTTGCATTTGAGATATCCACACAACTTAACGATTCCGAATTACCAGATTTTTCACATATAACGCCGTTTCGATATATAACAGTCTACCTAGGGAAATTAGGACACATTCTCTGACATTTTTAAAACAAAATTATAAAACTTTGCTATTAGTTGAGCAATGAATACAGTGCTAACGTTAATATGTTATTAATTTCAAATATTTTTCCTTATTTAATTGTATTTTAAGTTCCATACATTTTTCTTGTTTTTGCATTTTAAAAATAACGGATTTTAGAACCTAAATTGATTTCAGTTTACATTAAATACAGGGTTAACATTATTTAATCATAAATTAATTGTATATTAAATTTCTTATTTTTTTATATTGTAAATGATGGATTCCTTTTGATTATTTTAGGTTTATATTTATGTTGATGTTAAGTTGAATAGCGCAAGCTAGACTTCGCTTCATGATGTTTATGTGCATTGTATATTACAAGCAAATAAAGGCATAATAAAGGCATTTTATTATTATTATTATTATAAAACAATTTAGTTGATTTTTTATCTTCCTCCCTCCCAAAAAAGCGCAGCAAAGAAAACCAAAAAGTTGTGATAATTAAGTAATTTTTCATTTATAGTACTTTGCTATTTTTAATTAAAAAAATATGCACGAAATACAAGTTTTCTTTGCTGATTTAAATTGTTTATATATGTATGTGACAGTTCAATTTATCATGGTTTCAGCTAAATCTATGTTTCCTATTGCAAAATCTTTTCTTTCGCTCATTTTTTTCAGTACCAGAGTTTCCTCCACTTTTTTCAGTGGAGACTGAGGTAGCAACTCAGAACTGTTTCTAGATTGAAAACGAATGACGTGAATGAGAGGTTTATTGGATTCAAGCTTTGCTATAAGATCAACAGTTGGCCTCAAAATATAGAGTCGTCAATTAATAAAGTTTTTAGTTGTTTTGATAGTGTTACAGATACTTCGTCACTTATCGCTAGTGTTTGTAGAACACTTTCATTTAGGCGAAGGCTCTGTAGGCTGAACAAATGACTTTCACATAGTGTTTTTACAGCCAGTTTCCGAGAAACATTGATTTTGCTAAACAAATCTTAAAGAATATGAATGTTTTTGATCGTTTTTATAGCATTTGTTGTAAAATTGCCAGACAACTTTTCTTCTTCTACCCATAATGAGAGTGAATATTGACTATGAGTATTAACAAATATTATCACCTGCTTTGTAAATTGACTATGAGTATTGACAAATAATATCACCTCTTTTGTGCTTTATAACACCCTTGTCGCGACTGCCATGTGTTATAACATAACCCACAAATATTAAATACCGGGTAAATACCCATAATTTATTTACCTACCCACTGGGTATTTACCCAACTCGCATCACTAGGTACAATTGAAATTGGTCTATAGTTTTATCTGCACGTTTCTTAAATATAGGTAGTACTTTAACAATATCAGGAAAAACGCCTTATAATATGCGACATATAATATATAGCTATAAAAAATGGTCAATATAATTATCAATTGTTTCAACAAGAATTTTATTATGTAAAAAAAGTGAACTGAGAAAAATCGGTTGAGAACCAAAAAACTGAAATGCAATTTATGAGCTAAGAATTGAAGAAAAGAAAAATGAGTGCTTCGACCAGGAATCAAACCTGGAACATCCGGACTGTAGCCTGCGCTGCTTTTACCAATTCCTGGTCGACGCACTCACTATTTTTTTCTTTAATTCTCATCTTTTTCAATTTTTCTTTGGTTTGTTTTCACTTTTGGAATATAAGGGTGTAATTTTTATAATTTCGTAGGTTTCATAGGGAATTTTTCATTTTCATATTTCCAAAATTAATGATATTATTTAAACCAAAAAAATCAGTACAATTTGAGATTTTCAAGTTACGTAAAGTGTCACTGGACCCGAGTAAAGGAAATTAGTTTAATTAAAAGTTTTATTGTGTCAATTTTCTTACCAAATGTTCTAAGGCGTTAAGTAGTAGTTTTCTAGATTTCTCACAGTTCAAATCGCCAACGATCCAATAGGTCATCGAATGATATTTTCTCCCTTTCTTGTTAACAGAAAAGTATTTTAGATTTTCTATAGCGGTAGCAGTCATGTCTCTAGAACTGAGCTGCATTAAAGCTCTAATATCGTCAGTACTAGTAGCAGAACCTAAAAAAATAACGTACATAATCAACGAAACTTAAAAAAAAAAAAAACCAAAAAACCTGTCATATCAACGTGAAAAGATCGATCCTTATTCAAAATCCTATCGTTCAATCTCGGCATAACTTTGGGCTGGTTCATGATTTGCTCCAAAATATCATCCAGATCCGAAAACTTGCCCCTGTATACGTTTTTCTGGAAACTATGCGTTTGAGTCACGACTTCCTGAAGGATTGTTTCCTCGAATTCGTCGACGTTAATTTGGTTTTGCGGCAAAGGTATTCCGTTTAGAAGAGCTTGGGGAAATACTTTTACGCCCACTCTTTCAATGAAATCCGAAGAAAGTTTTCTACCAAAATCGTAGACAGAATCTTCACCTAAAATAAGTAGTAATTGGATAATTTTCAGAGTAATAATAATAATCATATTATACAGGGTTTTATTGAAATTCATGTAGATATAAAAACATTAATATTTAGGCTCTTCTAGAATGTGTGAAATTATTTAAAAAAAAAAAATACTAATAATTGATGGAGTAATTTTTAAGTTCTGAAAATTTAAGTTAAATCAGGTATACTCCACTAGTCATCATTAAAATCTAGATAATCTATAGTCATCGATCCCGAATACCTGAGTCACAGTATATACAGTGTGTCTACTTAAGTTGGAACCATATGGAAAATATTTTTATTATTGATTTTAGGAAAAAAAGTTATTCTTGATAAAAAGTCCTGCATGACCCAACACTTAAAATACAGTCATCAGATATCAAATTTTTCAAGCCGTATACGAGGTTTGTCAAAAAATGTGAATTTTGCTCAAGAGTAAAGTACGTTTATTTTTTAACAAAATCGAAAATTTTCATTAAGAAATTTGATAAATTCTTCACAAACATCAACAAAAGGAAAGCGTATCATGTTTATAGTAGCTAACGTAATTTATAACGTTTTCAGATATTTACAATCAATATGTAGAGTTTATAAAAAATAAGAAAATCTGTTTTTTCAGATAGATCGGTGTAATTGCATATTTGAATGTAATATTTAATTCTAATCAAGTTTTCTTAATGAAAATTTTCGATTTTGTCAACAATAGACGTACTTTACTCTTGAGCAAAATTCATATTTTTTGACAAACCTCGTATACGGCTTGAAAAATTTGATATGTGATGACTGTATTTTAGGTTTTGGGTCATGCAGGACTTTTTATCAAGAATAACTTTTTTTCCTAAAATCAATAATAAAAATGTTTTCCATATGGTTCCAACTTAAGTAGACACACTGTATGTATATTTTTTGTACTTTTAATCTCGATATTCTAGTTGTGAACTAGCCAATACCTTGCTTTTTGTCTTAATACATATTTTACTTTTTAGAAAGTTTTACAAATAATTAAAAAATATTTCTCATAAATTTTATTTAAATATTAAAAATGATGCCATTGGTTTTTGCACATCACACTTCTCTCATTTTTAATATGTACATTTATTTCAATAGCAAACTGTATATATTTGTTTTGTCTACCTAAAATATCAGCAGGATCCTCATCATAGTTTTCCCGCAATTTCTTTTTGATATGTTCAATCTGGAGGTCAGGAGTTTGTAGCAGATTTCTAATGAATGTCAAAGCGGTGGTGGCATCTTTAGTTTGACTGACGTAGTTAAAAACGCACTGCATGGCAACACCGATATCGTCAAGGCCGTTTACGTCGCTGTTGTCAGTCACGTTGAAGACGATACCGACTCTGATGGGAGCTGTGTGGATTACGAAAGATTCTACTAGTTTTAGGACTCCTGCTGCAGATGTATCAGCTGGATCAATGATCAGTACCTAGAATGGTTTTATAAATATAGTAAATCCCGTAATGTTGAAAAAATGTGTTGATGTTTATACTAAAACTGTTTTTATTTATTAAGTTAGTGGCACTGAATATAAAAAAGCAACAGGGCAGTCAATTGTCAGGTGAACAAATAAAAATATTGTATAACAAACTTTATTATTTTTCAATCTACATTAAAGTTGCTTTTACTTACTAAATAAAATAACCTGAACTTAATATGGTTTAAATATTAATTTTTTAAAGATTGGGTGTATTTTATATCAAGTAGTGTATTTTATATCAAGTAGTGTATTTTTTTTAACTAAATTCATTTCAATTTCGGAAAGTATTAATTTCTTATGAGTCTATATCAAATATATTTAAATAAAAATTAAATCTTAACAACTTAGTTCAGCTTTGATATATTCGCCGCCTGAATGAAATTTTCTACTTTTGGGGCCTTTAACAATACCTCTGTAGTAAAAATAAGTTTGTATTATTTATACAATTAGTAACATAATTAATGCAAAAAATACACAATATTTTCCTTACCAAGTTATATAGATTTCTTCTGATTTGGCGCAACATTCCAGGAAATGTGGGCCTTAACAACTCCATAAGTGAACTTGACCATCTGTGATACCTATTATAACATTTTCAAAGTGATAAATACATGAATATTAAAACAATAAATATTTGTATATAAAGGTACGAAAATCTAAAAGTATCCCCTCTATTTTACAATGAATTGGACAAGGCGTGAAAGAAAGACCACTGAGCAGCATGGCGCGCCTCCACTTATGCTTTGTTTAGATGGTCCGCGTTTATATTTCAGTACCTATATATGCACATAAAACTTACTTTGGATCGTGTTCAATATCGTTTATCCAATTTATAGCCGAATCTCTAATATCTATAGCAAAATCTTGCCCGTTGCCGTCATCTACGAAGTCCAATTCCAACAATGAAGACATTCTTTTATTGCCCACACCTAACGCATGTAATCCTTCCATTGTTCTGAGCTCTTGACGTAAAATTTCGAGAATACCGTAAATGTCAACAATGTCAATGTCATAAAACATCCCATTGATAAACAGACCAGTATCTGACGGTTGCAGATTTAAGTGGGCCGCAAACATTTCGCTGTTTTTCTTCATCTCTGATTTCATCTTGGCACTTACTATTGATTTCGACAGCCCCTTTGCCTGTATACAATTTATTTTCATGTCAAAACAAAGATATAATCAAGAATAAAAACAATTTCATCTTTCATTATTTTTAAATACTTAGATGAAAAGTTAAATGAATGTTTTTACCTGCATGGGGAAATTATGAGCAGTGTTGGTCAAAATTTTCAATGCTTCTTCCTTTGGAGCATTCATAATACGCTCAGCAGCTTGCAAGCTCAGTTCCTGAAATTGCCATACTTTAAGAGGGGCTAATTCGCTAGAGGTATCTTCTAGATGTGCTTTGAATTTGTCTAGTTGAGATTGCAGATCAGGAAATATTTGCCTAAAAGTATTTAAATATAAATACAGGATGATTCATTAAGGGTGATGACTGGCCATATCACTTATATAAGTGATTGTAGTTTAGTAAAAAAAAACAGGTGTAAACCAAACAAATTTTTCTGACAAAAATAAGAAAGAAACCTAAATTTTACACGTTTAGAGATTTTAAAAATTTTGACCATGACAGTTTTTACAATGATTTAATAAATACCCCATTTCAAAAAATTTTCAATATAGAAAATATTGATGATAAAATGCAGTTTCTCACAGAACAAGTTATTCTCTTGTTTGATAAACATGCGCCACTAAAAACTATACGTATTACTATACCTTATGCACCCTGGTTAACTTATCCAATCAAATTAATAATTAAGGATAGAAATTGTGCTTGTGCCTTAAGCAAACAAGATTATACACTGATTGGGATAGGTATAAGGAATTAATAAATTTCAGTTTCTCCTCTATATGTCGTGAAAAAAGAGCCTACTTTGAAAACCAGTTTAATTCCCATAAATCCAAGGATTTATGAAGGGTCTAAATAAACTTCAGTCTAGAAAGGAAGAAGTAACCCTACCTATTTCGCTGCAGAAACCCAAAGAAATAAATAAGTACTTTTGTTCTGTTTTAGTTGATAATGAAGTAAATGATGACCTATTAGAATATTATAATAATTCAACACTACCTAATTTGCATGGAAACAAACTAACATTTGATTTTATAACTGTCAGAGAATTTAATAAGCTACTCCATAATATCAAATCTAATGCCATAAGTTCTGATGCTGTGTCAATCTTCATGCTGAAGTACTGTAGTTTGCATATTGATAATTACATTACACACCTTCTAAACTGTTGTATTCAAAAAAACTAGTTTCCAATATCTTGGAAAATTGCAACAATTAGACCACTTTGTAAAGTTGCACAACCTCAACATTTTTCTGATTTAAGGCCTATTAGTATTTTGACTGCGATGTCCAAAATTCTTGAAAAGGCTATCTATAATAGAATTTCCATTTATATTGAAAACAAAATACTTCAGGATTCAATCTATTATTAAACCAAGAGGATATTTTGACAATGTACTGGAAAATGTAGCTGAATTAGTAAAAACATTTTCATTATCTGATTTTGTGATTGTGGTAGCAGATGCTAATGATTTTGACATGTCCAGGGTCCCTAAATTCAGAAATATTTGTTCGAAACTGAAACTATGTACCCACACTAACTTTATAATGGTGTCTGTTCCAATTTTGAGAAGACACAGTGACAAAAACCTAATCAAGAAATTTAATTTGAAATTGGATAAGTTGGACAATTATACATAAGGTAGAATGTTATATGCAAATATCAATTATGAGCAAGGTGTCAAACTAAAACTGTCCGATATCATACGAAAAATTAGTGTAGCAATAAGTAATAGCAAAAATGTCTGTAAAAATTTAAAATTTATTAACACTGTAAAATCTAAAAATACAAATTGTAACATGTCTACTAACTTGGGCTCTATAGATTTGACAGGTTTAAATAATCTTACTGTTCTTCCTATTAATAATAGTACTTTGGGCTCTATAGATTTGACAGATTTAAATAATTTAACTCTTCTTCCTTTTGATAATAGTAACTTGGGTTCCATAGATTTGACAGGTTTAAATAATTTAACTGTTCCTCCTTTTGATAACGTATCTATCACACCCAAAGTTAATAAGGATTTTCCCACAAAGTCTCAAACTCAAGATCCAAATTAAAAAGTACAATAAATATATTATATTTAAATGCTGAGAGCTTGGTGGCCCACATTGATAAAATCTCTAATTATGTGTTGTCAAAAAAACCAAGTTTAGTGTTTCTGAAACTTGCTTGACTGAGGATATTTATGATTCAGAAATAGACAATGACGGAAAATTATAGAGTTGACAGTGAAAGTAGACACACAGGGGGTGCTTTAATTTATGTACAAAGTGTACTGAAGGTTTTAAAATATTTTAAATTTTATATTCCAAAAATTTGTTGGATTGTTTCTGTAATTAGGAAACAAATTTTTTTTAATTGTATCTTTATATAGGTCACCTAGCAGTAGCTGTATACATTTTTTAGATTGTTTTAGCACTTGGGCTGAAGAAAATTTATGTGATAATTCTCAAATAATTATTGTTTCTGGAAATTTTAATATTGACCTAACACTAATAGATTTAGTTATAACAATGACTCGATTTCAGCTGAGGTTATCAAAACACCAAGAATTTCAGATCATTTTATGCTTTTAACAAATGTGCTATTAAAACTTATTACTAGAATACAATCGGGCTTCAGAAGCAAACACAACTGTGAATCAGCTATCCAGTGTGTTTTATATGATTGGAAATATAAATTTGATAAAAACTATCTAACATTGGTAGTTTTTATAGATCTTTAAAGGGCATTCGAGACAGTTGATCAAAACAGTTTGATAAAAAAATTGAAATTTATGGGTATAGTAGAGCAAGCATTGGAGTGGTGTGTGGATTATCTAAGTAAGAGGAAACAAAAGTTAAAAGTAAATAACATTTTGTCAGAGGAAATTAACTATATCAGAGGTGTTTCACAGGGAAGTATATTGGGTCCCTTGTTGTTTTTCGTGAATATCAATGACATTGTTGATTTCAAGGGTCAATGTGACATTCACCTGTTTGCTGATGATGCCCTAATATATTTTTCTTGTAAGGATTCAGATAACTTGGTAAGAGTTGTTAATGAAACACTGCAACATGTTTATAAATGGTGTTGCAATAATTTTTTGAAAATAAAACAAAATGTATGCTGATAAGTAGCAACTATAACTATACAGAGTTTGTTGATAAACAATATAACATAACAATTGGAGGAAATTCTATACAGTTAGTAGAAAATTTTTACAAATAATTGTCAATAATGATGTCATCTAATGCTCTATTAGTCGAACAAATTAGTACAAAGCAATCCTGATTCTCCAGAATTTATGATTTATCAATATATAGAACATTTTGTTTTATTTTTAGTGAATAATTTAACAATAATTATTATTCTGTTTGAAACTTTACAAATAAGGCCTTTATCTTTATACCATATATTATTTAATTTTCTAGGTTATCAAGGTAACATTGACAATGTTATTCTTCATAAAAAGGTCTGCATAGCCTATATTAGACATCATTATTTTCAGTCCTATATGAAGGTTTGTCAAAACTATGAGTTTTGTGCAAGAGTACCACCTTAATTTTTGACAATAGCTAAAATTATTATGAAGAAAAGTTGATTAGAATTGAAAACTACATTTTTTATGCAATTACAGTCATCTACCCTGGAAAACAGGATTTGACTATTTTTTATACTTTTCTCTCTAAAATGGCCTTAAACGTTTTTCCTTACCCTGAAATTGTTTGAATTTTAGATTTTAAACCATGTAAAACTTCTTTTTCTTGAAATTAATAATAATTTTTTTTCCATATGTTTCCAACTTAAGCACACATACTGTATAAATAAATAATAAACCAGACAAAATATAAACAAAATAATCAGATTATCTTTAATATTATGATAGAAAACATTTTTATAATTTTTTTTAGTTAATAACTTTTAAACAGCTTAAAAATAGGAATTTACTTTCAAAATTCCAACCAACAAATGCTTATATATTAAGAAATATAAACCTCTTATATCCATTACATTGACTAAACAGTTGCAGAAGATGGAGTGTTGTAGTTTTTTAAAATTAAACAATAAACTACCTGACACAATAAAAAGGTTGTCAAATATTAAGTTATTTAAAACAGATATACATGATTTATTAATTAATTTAGAACCATATATGGTAAATGAATATACTATACCTACCAATTATCAATATATGTATTATTATTAAAATCAAATTATGCAGAATAAATTCCAAACATTACAGTCACACAATCTTTTCATATATTTGGCTATACTAACTTTAATCTTGCAAAATCAAAGCCTTCCAATTCATCATCTTCATCTTCTTGTGAAGCTTCAGCAGAATTTTTATCCTCGTGTAATTCTGTATCATCCTGAGATTTATATTCAGTGGATTTCATTTGCAATTCAACTCCATAACCTGACAGTCTTAATTTATTTGGATTTTTATCCTAAAATTTACATGGTACTACTAACTAGATTTTATTTCAGATGTATGTGTTACTTACTTTGACATAATGCCTTATTACATAGTCGATTTTTCCATCTAAGGCTGCTTCTTTTAAAATTTTATGGAATTTTGAGAAACTTTCTGTCCCAACTTGACCATATAAAACTGCTACTAGAGATCTATTAGCAGAACCTGGGAAATGGTTATCAATTCTGTATATATCGATTTTCTTGTGATTTTCAGTAGGCTACAATTATTATTAATATGTACAATACCAATGACATATCGACACCCATATTGAAGAAGGTTGTAACTCAGGATTCATCCTTTTTAAATTCAGCCACAGGTGTGTTCAGCAAAATGAGGTGAATCCATCAGTACAAAAAATGTATCATGATTTACAATGACTTGGTTGATACTCATTTGAAAAAAAGTCATGTACCATTTCAACCTTAAAAAGTCAGTAACACTACCTCTTTACCTACTTCACATTTTGTAGTTTAGAATGATACAAAATAAAAAATATATCTATGTATTTCTTATCATGGTTGTATCTTACTTACTGCCTTATTCTGTCAAGTGTTATGTTAATTACTGCCAAGGCTGAATCTCAATCAAACTCAACTTATTAATTATTTATAACATTTAAATATTCATTATCTCCACTGTGTTCTAATTATCCTATTTGTTAACTATTGGAGAATTATACAGTTTCTCCAAAAATATTTAATAAAACTGTTTTTAGTTTTCTGACATTTCTGTAAATCACTAAAATTGAGTTTCAACCTTCTTCGATGGAGATGTCAATATATTGATTTAATTAACAGATATATTTCACAATAATTCAGAAACTTATCAACCAATTTTACTTTATAAATTATTGAAGAAGAATCAAGACAATGGTTTTTATTTTTTAAAAGAAAAAGTATCCAGCTACATTACTAATTGTTTTAAACAAATATATTCAGTTGAGAGACATGACATTTATGAAAATGTTAATTTTAACAGTCAATACCTTAGTTAAAACTTACCCCATCAATTATTGCTTTAATATCTTCAATATTACATACAACATTACCACCAATGTCGGCAATACTTTGACAATCTGGTAATTTTAATTCATGAGCAATCTGCTCATACATTTGTACTTTTGGAGAATAAACATGTAATGATAAGCCTAATTTTAATACTGACACCTGTGAAGGAGTTAACAATTTTGAGGCATGTTCCAATACGGTATTGTATTGTTGGCGTTCGTTACCTAAAAACAATTTATGAATAATAAAATAAATCGATTTTGAATTAAATTATATTACCTGATGAAGCCAAGGGTGGATTTAAGGAACTTATAGAATCAATGAAACTCCAGTAAAAGTCTATGTTTTCTTCTGCTAAATATTCTGCAGCCTCTAGAACCAACGGAGTAACATGCCATTTTGCTTCGAGAAGGGTGGTTACGGATTTAGACTTTTTCGATTTACCTTCTACATTGAAAATATTAAATACACACCAAAAACAAATTATTATTAAAATTTTCATTCTGCAAAAAAACATAACCTTACTTATACCGGAAAATATGTATGTATTTTGATTTTAATAACTTACCTTTATACCTAAATAAACACTTAGTAAACTATTGCTTAGTACAAATAACATGGGCTCTGACAAATCTACCTCATATATTTTTAATCAGATTTATGAATATAAAATTAAAACTGCTTCAAAATCATTTTGACACTGACAGTTTAGTTTATGTTGCCAATATGCCAATTTTAGACCAATCAAAAGCAGCCAACGCATGTGCGAGAACAGTGCTGCCAAAATAATTTTTTTGAATGTAAAAATAATTGCAGCTATATGATTGGTTGAATGCAGAAACGAAATGTTCAGGACCGGCTTTTGTTCTAGTTGATAAAACAGGATTGTACTCCAGTAATTTTTCTTTACAGTCATCAAAAAATTTACCATTTTTTAAATTTTGTTAGAAAGATGGTTGTTTGTTTAGAATTTCTATTGTATGCTATGGTCTAAACCTAAAATTTTAATTATTATTCTTTAAAATATGCTTTATACATGTTTAATTACATTCTCCTTATTCGAGTGAATAAAAACCCAGACAACACACCAAATCCCAGAGATATCCACAGAATATCAAAAATATCCCGTGAATCTAATATGGATATCCAAATGTCCGTCTATATCCAGAATATAGAACATATCCAGCAAAATATCTAATGGGTACCTTCCAGACAATACAAGAAATCCCACAGATATCCACAGAATATATTTTGTGGATATCCAATATATCCAGGGATCTAATATGGATATCCAAATGTCCGTCTATATCCCAGGATATAGAAGATATTCGGATATTCAGCAAAATATTTTATGGGTATCTTTAGTAGAGGTTCATAAGTAACCAATGATTATTGAATAACGTCGAAAGAAAATAGCAGAGATAAAAAAATAATTTCAACACTCAAAATATTTTCAACACTCTGCCTTTGATTTTGCCCACTAAGGAGAAAGTCATCCTTATTAGGACTCAATAAATGGAAATTCTCGACTCCAGTCTCTAATGGAGTCTCTGATTGACATATCAATTTCGATCGAACTCAATTACGGCGGGTTGAGCATGAGCACGAGCGAAAGTGGTATCGCCATCTATACTTAGTAAGCAAAATCAAAAATTACATCTAGTGGATATCCACCATGGTTTGCGTTCGCGCCTAGACTTTGATATATCCATGGGATATTGAATACACCTTAAAAAAATTAATTTTAAATATCTGAACGGTACTATTAGCCACAATGGCGAGCACAATGGTGTAATTTTTTAATAATTTGTTATATAATTACTATTATTTATGGACATTTGCATGTCTATAAATTACATCTCATGTATATAAAATAGATATTCACCATGGACTGGACATTCAGTGGATATTGGGATGTCTAGTAGATATCCAAAGGATTTGGTGTGCTGTCTGGGAAGTCATATGGATTAATGGAAAAAGTCCCTAAAATGTTGTTAAAAGAGTTTAAACTTTGAAAATTAACTAAACCCACTTACCATATACATACACACGCCAATAGAGGACTTCTATACAAGGGAAGTGCAACCAACTTGACAAATTTTTTTTGACACTAATGGCATAAGAAATCGGGTCACATAAAGAGGCTGTTTTTTTTATCTACTTTTATGCCGTTTAGATACCATGTTGTACCCGTAACGTAAAAAAGACTTTATTTTAGGGTATTTTACATTTAAAGGTTGAAAACATTTGTCAATATCAACTGTCGATAATGTCAAAACATAAGCGTAGCATTGCATTTTATTTTTTGTTGTTAATAGTCTATTTGTGTTTCTCCTGCTTTCTTGAAACATTTTTTGTCATTTGGTCTTACTTATTTATGTCGATTGCAAAATGCTGCTGCAACGAATACAAGTTCTATGCAATATACAACCAACATACAATACTAGTTACGTTGCGCCCATCTATGGTTACGTCTGTGTTCTATCATCAACATAATTGACAGCTGACAATGACAAAATGTTTCAACCTTTAAATGTAAAATACCCTAAAATAAAAAGTCCTTTTCACGTTACGGGTACAACAAGGTATGCAAATGGCATGAAAGTAGATAGGCAAAACCAAAAAGCAAACTAAAAAACAGCCTCTTTATGTGACTCGATTTCTTATGTCATTAGTGTCAATTTTATTTTGTCAAGTTGGTTGCACTTCCCTTGTATAGAAGTCCTCTATTAATGCTGCGTTTGAGAATCCACATCGGATGTATTTTTTACATCTCGAGCGTTTTTTTATCCACATCGGACACATCTGTCCCATTACATTTACGTATACTGCATCACGTGATCAAACATTTTTTACATCTCAGATGCATCCGATGTGGATTCTCAAACGCAGCATAAATTTTACTATTTACCTGAGCCTGACTCATAACGTCAATTGCTGTAGTTTAAAATTGTCACTGATATCACAACTTTAAGCTTGCATAAGTTATAGTGCGTGTAGAATAAATGTTGACCAAAAAGGTAGTAACTTTTTGAATTTACTTACAAGTTGGTTCCTTTGTTCACTCATATAGTTATCAGCTAGACTTGGTGTAAATGTAAAACATCCATAACTTTTTAGCAAAAACATTAGGGATATATTCAAATTATAAATAATATTAAGTTTTTAAATTACAACCATGTACACGTACCCTCAAAAATTAATTCATTTTCAATTTCATTTTAGACTTATTTAGTATCTGAAACTTAAATAGTAAGAATTTCTTACGAAATAATCTTAATTTATTATTATCAATAGCGCGAAAAAATTTGATAAGAAATTACTGACATTTAGACAACCAATATTTACTACTTTCTTGTATTGTTAGTTGCATATGCATAATTTTATTGACAAATAGAACATACCATTAATTATTTATTCTCAACGACTTGTAGTGTGTTTATATGTCTTATTAGAGTTGTTTAGTCTTTAAAAAAGGGTTATTTTGTTGTGTTGTAATTATTTTGTGCTGATTTAGAATAGAAAATAAGGACCAAAACTACATTATTACTAGGTTGTAAATTCTATTTTTATAAATCAAGCTGCCCTTCTTTGATATAAACTTTCTATAATAATGTATATTATTGATTTTAAAACCAAAATCGGTTAATTTTTATTTCTTTTCTTTTCGCAACTGGTGACATAATGAATTTTTCGAAACCAGTTCCATAATGGTCAACATTATGTAAAGTAGATCAGTTTGACACTTTCTGCGATTACAAAAAATGTCACTTTATATGTCAAAAAATAAATTACATATTTCAATTATTTTTTCCCTATTTAAATAAATTTAATTACCTACTATATTTAGGAGTAAAATTTTTAGTGATAATAATTTAATAAGAATCGGTGAAAATGTGGGATCTTCGAGGATAAGTTTCCAACTGCGGTCTTCATTTGCTGTAGACACAAGCTCTAATGTCATTGAAAGTGTCCTTTGTGGTGTAAATGGGGTAATTTTCTCGATTTGTTACCACTTCTTTAACCAGTTGGACAGCCTTTTTCCTTCTTTAAATATTAATACCGTTACTAAAATATTGATATAAAAATGTCTGGAGGGCAAAGTTAGTATGAAACCAAGGAATTATTCAAGGCAATACATGTAGATTTTGATTTAAATAGATAATAAAAAATAGGAAACATATAGGGGTCTATTCTGTAACTATAGTTGTTATCTGGCAACTTTCTAACACTTGCTATCTTACCACTTTCATAGCAACTGTATATAATAACTTTGACAAAGGTAGCTATTCTACTATTTACGATTGCTAAATTAGTCTTTTGAGATACTTTTGAGATAATCAGAATTCTCTAAGTAAAAAATCTGACACCACTACTGGTTACAAAAGTTGATTCAGAATTATTTGGAAGTAACCAAATATTTTTGATGGTTAAGCGTAACAACTGATTGCTAAGAAAGAAATATTATGGACCCTGGATAATACATATTTTAATAGACCAAGAAATTAATGAAAGGTATATTTACTGATAGAATAATAGATATCAGAATTAAATAGATATATTATTTTCTCTAATTGTTTGATTTAGTAAAATTTCAGCAATCTGTATTGCCTCTCAGCTCCCCAAAATGTCTGCTGGTTGATATATAACGTTACTGAAACCTGTCTATTGGAACCACCTCTTAGATCATCAAAAGGCCTGCATAACTGCTTGCGATAAAATTACACAATAAATTTTCCTGTCTTGATGAATAAAATACATAATATTCTGCAGAAATATCCACAGATTCTGTCAAACATGATGAAAGTGAAGTGGATATCAATACAACTGTGACAGCCACGCGTTTCGTTTTTCTGAATTTTTCGGAAATATTTAGTATGAAAAAGTATTATTCTAATATATGAATGATATTTTTGTATTTTTAAAAGCTTACTTTTACATATTTAATACAAAGGTTATTCCAGTCAATTTTTTACTTAAACGAGCATTGCTAGAGCAGGAACGAATTATACATCTAGGCATTACTCACTTTATAAAAATCGTTAAAACACAAATAAAAATTAAATTTAATTACAAAAATGACACTCAAAAGACAATCTATGTAAAACTTTATATAAATAAAAATTTTCTTAGTTTATTCGGTCGTTTTTATTTTCATTTGTTTAGCACATCCTTTCGAAAAACTTTTCCATTTTCGGGTGCAGTCAAAATTGAATAAAACATGGGGACGATTAAATTAAATTAAATTTTACTAAATTTTGATTGCACCTGAAGATGGAAAAGTTTTCCGAAACATATGTAGTGCTGTGCTAAACAATTGAAAATAAAAACGACCGAATAAGCCAAGAAAATTTTTATTTATATAAAATTCTGCTGCGGTCAAGAAAGTATTCTTATTCTATATAAATTGCACTCACAATAATGGCGGATTGATCCCACTTTGCGCATACACATATACGTTGAGCAGAAAAAATCTGATCGGGATCTGTTTCAGATCAATTTGCAACAGTTTTAAAGTCTGATGAACAGTATTTTTTGACATTTATTAAAGTCATGTAACTAACCTCTAAACTCCAAATTTATGATTTTATATTTTATTCATTTTTATCTGTGGATCGTGTGTAAATTAAAAAGTAAAATATAAAAGGGCATTGTGTATAATAGCAAAAGCTTG